CTCACCCCACACAAGGCCCAAACTCAGCACAGCATCCACCAGGAACCTTAATATCAAATCATAAAGTCATTCTACAGCCTCTGGATGGGGACAGAGAAAGACGAAGATGAAGAAAGGAATGAGACAGAAAGAGGCCAAGGTTATCCAGAAAGAGGGTGGTCATTTTCTGAGGGAAAATTTGACTAATTGAATATTGGGGTCTATGTGCTCAGGGACAGAACATCTCTGACAAAAGGAGAGAGTAGGATAAACAGCCCATTGTGCTAGACTGATTCTGATCTAAGAGAAACAGCATTGATGTTGCCATGGAAACCAGCCCTTCTCTTTCAACTGTTCAGGAGCACTATTCTTTAAAGAGATGGAATTGTGTGTTTCTTGGAAAAATTGTTGGGGGTGTATTTCTTGTTCTATTTGACTCTCCATTTGGATCAGATCACACTGTGGAAGTTGCAGGGAGATAAAATCCCATAATAGTTCCAACGAGTGGTCTTTGAATTTCCCAGGGGGAAAAAATGTGTGCCTTCCCCTAAATGTCTTCTGACCTGATCTACTGCTGATATCAGGCACCGTGGTGTACCCAGGACACCATGATTGCTTCTCTGTCATGCAGCAATTGTCCATTCAATCATTTTGCCCCACCCCAGCTTCTACCCTTAGCTGGGACCATGAGCCCCAGAGGAGCAGGGACAGCTTCCTTTTTGTGTTTCATCTTTGCATTCAGCATTAGTACAGGGGCGATATCCTACAGTGTCATGAAGAGAAGCCCTGGATGTTTCCTCCTTCACATTTTTATGTATTTTTCCTATTTCCTGGGAGGACAGAATTATGATGTCTTTCCTCCCACCTGCATTCTTCCCTGTCAAAATGTGATCTGTCCTACAAGACCCAGTTCAAAGGTCAGCTCAGCCCTGGTAGACAACCACACTAACATGCCCTACCCTTCTAGAACGTCCAGCACAATCACACCCTTGGCTGTAGCACATCTCCCACCTGGCTTTGGTTCCATCTTAGCTGGGAACCTTTCAAGATCAGCTCCCATGAAGGGTGGAAAGATTAAAAACTGAAAAAGCAACAAACATAGTATTTCTACTAATGAAAGTTCTGTCTTTATAATCATTTTCTGGCTACTCCAGCTAACCGGTCAGCCAGAAGGGCTCTGTGACACACCACCCTTCAAAATTGAGAGCTTTTTCCCTACCAAACTTCCTTTTGTTAAACTCTTCCAGCTGATTTGCCCCTAGATATCCACAGGAGGAGTTAGTAGGCATCCTCTTTTCTGATGTGAAAACCATAACTCTGCCAGAAATAGCATATGGTTTCCAGGTCACTCTTGAAAACAGAAATAGCTGTCACCCATCTCCTTACACTTTCGTTCTGCCTTTGTCTCCAGCTACACTCCCACAGCCTGTTCATTGTGAGTAAAGATAGATTTGGTTTGGTTTTTAGAGAATGGGAAATCCTTATGACAGAATGTTTGAATATGTATGAAATCTTTAGTTGATTTTGTGTAATTGAAAAATATATTGGGTGTTTATGTGTTGGTCCTATGGATCAGGTGGCCTTTGTGATAGAGATGCCAGCCTTGATCTTTTCCTGGACTTCTCCAGCTCAGCTCTCACCATCCCTTAAAGACAGGATGGAAACATAAGTCTATATGGGTATGCAGAGGGTTGTCTGATGCCTGGAGCTCAACAGCCTGCATAGACCCAAAGGGCAAGAGCTACCCTGGCTTTCTTCTCAACACTACTATCCATTCTCAGCTACACACCCCAGTTCAGCAATCAGCTTGGAGCCTCTACTTTCAGCCTTACTCAAAGTCTATCAAGACCACTTTTTCAAATGGTCCAACATCTAAGATGGAAAAAATGGACACAAACTACGAACTTCAGAGCAAAATGCAAATATGTGTGGATACTGCTGAATGGAATAGTGGTTATGACGTTGTCAACAAATGCATGGCTTAGGATCCGAGCTTTGCCACTTACTAACTGAATGACCTTAAGCAAGCTGCTTCAATGTTCTGTGCCTCCATTTCCTCATCTAGGGATGATAATGATGATGTTCATGGTGATGATGTTGAAGATGGAAGTACTCATCTCCTGGAACTTTGCATGGCTCTATGAACGTAAGATGGCACTTATCACAGAACATATAGTATTTAGGTATTTGTTATTTTGGCATTAACTATTTAGACTAAGTTCTGGCTGAGAACAGGTGAGTCCGCTTTTATAATAACTGCAAATTGACTTTCAGAGGAATTAACTATAACACTGACAGCATTGCTTGAGGTCATACATAGAAGAGGTTAAGGGAAGTAAAAGTATCATACAAACCTGGGTTTGGATCCCAGCTCTCCTGCTGTAGCCCTAGAGCACTCTCTTCATACCTCTGAGCCACAGACACGTCACCTGTTTAATGAGGATCAATAACTCCCACATGCTCACATCATCCTATCCTTAAATAAGGTAATTATGAGGAGGCTCCCATTCGTGATTAATTATCTTCCTCCTCAAGCTGCTGGGCAGCCACCAGGTGCATGATATCAAAAGCATCATCACACCCTCTTCCTGCCACTATTTTATGTCCAGTTTTGTCTACAGACTTCAGAACAGTGACTATGCACTATGGTTTAAATGTGTTCCCTGGAAAGCATGTATTAGAAGTTTAATCCCCCATGCATTAGTGTTGAGATGGTGGGGCCTAATAGGAATTGTTTAGGTCATAAGTTCTCCACCCATGTAAATGGATGAATCCCCATTATAAGAGGGCTTGAAGTTATCGATTCAATCTCTTGCTCACTCTCACCTTCTCTTTTGCCCTTCTGCCTTGGGATGATGCTTCAAGAAGGCCCTCATGGGATTCTGGCTCCTTGATCATGTACTCCAAGCCTCCAAAGCTGTCAGAAACAAGTATTTTTCCTCCATAGGGAACCCAGACTACATTCTGTTACAACACAAAATAGACTAAAGCACTCTGTGTCATCTAGTGCTGTGTGCTCCATCCCCAGTTCAGCCTGGGCCTCAGAGGCTGATCAGCAAAGCTGCAGAAAATGAAGAACAGGGGACTGCAAGCCAGGTGGCCAGATACATCTCTTCATCCAGGCTAAGGACCTCAGCATCATGTCAGGTCCCAGCTACCTGAAAAGGAAGGTCCTCCATGTCACCCTGCCTACCAGGCCACTCTGCCCCCTGGGGCTCACCCACCCTTCAGGGCCCCTGCCCCCAGCATCTTCCTGGTCATCTCAATGAACAGAAGATAAAGAAAGTTGCACATGAAGGTCAAGACTCTCAGACACATCTATCTTTATTTGTTTTCTGTCATAAAATTTCAAGAATTACACCAAAAAATACTTCAGCCTCTGCTACCTACTGACAAAAATACACCACAAAATTATAAAGCGCTCAGCGGTTTTGCTAGGGACAACTTGTTATTCCGCTTCAGATGACAAGTGAATTTACAGGTGACTCAAGGTGATGGGAGGATAGGGAGGAGGAAGGAAAAATCAGATGAGAGCATTTGGCAGGATAGTTTGAGCTATACTAGTCTTATTTTCCAGCTGTTGTATACATGATTTCAGCAACATAGCAAGCCACAAAAAATCCCTTTTAAATGGCCCATTGGAGACTCATGGGGAAACAATAACACATCTCATCTCAAATCACCAATTCTCCTAGCCGCTTCTGGCCCTGATGGGCCTGAAACCAACACCTGCACAGAATGGGCCTCCCTGAAACACTGTTAGAAAGGCATAGGCTGCCTTTCCCATGGAGCAGAAGGCCTGGTCAATGCCAGATATTGCCAAAACCTTCTAGAACTTGATTGGGGAATTAGGACCAATATTCCCTGTCAATACAATGCAGTGAACAAAAGACAGCCACCTTTTCCAGGATCTTCTAGACATAAATTAGGATTATTGCAGCCCCAATCTTAAAGTCTCTTTTTGGCTCCCACTTGAAGTTCCTGGTCGTAATCCAATTGTTGTTATTCCTGTTAGCATTCTGAAAAACCAAAAACAAATACAAAATTTAAAAACTGGGTGCCTGTGCTTCTAGTTTGGCCAAGGGTCACACTGCCTTGTGCCTCCTTTTGTCTTGCTGCCTCGCCTCCCTTTTCTCCCTTTCTACCCTTGCTATCTCATAAACAAGGGCAATATCCAAGCATAGATCTAGAAAAACAAAACAACAAAGAAAAATCTGCCCCCATCTCAGTGTTTGCATAAGCCAAACACACTACCACTGGGTGAGCATTCAGAGCCCAGGTCATGTGGGTTGGCTGGCCCAGGCCATTTGGGGGTCTGCCCTGGTGCTAGCAGGAACACCCAGCTGAAGTTGGTGCTCATCCTGCAAATGCACCCATGGTCCGTACATTTTACTCTAAGATGTGTGCGTCCTGGGCTTAGAAATGCCAAAATGAATTCTTCTCCCCAACTCAGCCATTCCTAACCTCCAGGGTTCCTATCCTGCAGATTAGAGGCTCAGTCCACATCTCTTATATATCCCAAACAGTCCCAGTCCATGTCATTCACAAAGTCCAAAGCCCACAGTGAAGCTACAATTTCTTGTTTAAGAAGCCCAGAGTCTGTGCTCTTTACTGCTCTCTACTATCTTCCTGGTGGAGCCTGCTTCATGCTTTCTATTTATTTCTTTGTGTCTCTCCTTTTCTGTTTTGAAATTTTCCTAACAAAGAATAAGCAGTGGCTTTGAAAATATCTTACATGGGAACAATCAACACGAAACATGCCTTTGTACATGAGCCTGACTTAGGGACGAATCAACAATACCAAAGGACAAAAAGAAATATCGATTCAGACAACTCCAGTGCACGATATTTTCGGAGAGTGCCACCCCCACCCCGCCCTACCCCGCCCCCACCCCATATCCCAGAAGTACA